AGTGGTTCTAGTCGATCGTGGCGAATGTGAGACGTTTTGAATGCTGTTGTTTAACTTTCTGATCTTTTTTCCTCTCAAGTGGACCATTCCAAATTGTGCGAATATATCGCGTATTTTCATACACTTTCTTCCTTTTTATCTCGCTCTAACCCCAAATTTCTCGCATTACCTTGTGGCTGCGTAAGAGTTCTGGTACTTATCCTTTGATTAGTGGCTTAATGGGATCGGAGGAGTGGTAGGAAGACATGTTTCTTCCATTCAATCCTACGACACAAATTCTTTTACGCACAAGTTATGCAATATCCCACAGCCTTAAGTTGACTTGTAAGAATGTATGATTCCTGCAAATGAAAACATTTTTCTCCGCACACGCATCTGATTAGCTGTTGCGGAGTGAGATACTGCATCCTCCATCCACCACACTTAAATCCTGACCGCATTGGGTTTCTGCTGTGCCAGGAAGGTGTAGTCTAGCCAACTTTTTTACGACCTGGAAGGGTAGCCAATGATGTTTGGAGACAGGAGGCATTTCACATTATAGGACAATTAGTTAGCGAAGCCAGTGAGGGAGGAAACATTGTTAATGCCTTGTACATATTCATCGATTGATTGGGCGATTTGACAACCCCTTTGCTGACAGTTTCCATTACCACTTTTCAACTTACATGAGCCAAAGTGGGTTTATTTGTTAGCAGTGAGTTGCTTATGTTAAATGCGTTAAATAGAAAGCCACGTTGGCTAAAGTAGTTAATTTTAAACTGCGCAATTTCCTTCCACAGCATTCTTTGTCTTCACTAAATCTGGGAACATTTTTCGGTTAGTCTTGCCTCATGCCTCTCATCCTATGCGGCCCTCTCTGTTGAGTAGACATCTGAGTTGGGATTTACTCTTCCTTTTCACCGCTTTTAACTGTCCTGACTGGCTGTTTAAACTTTGTATGAGATGCTTTCTGTTCATGCCTGTCTCTGGCACAACACACGATTGAGTCACGCAAATCATTGTCTAATCAACCGGGCTAGCCACTTTCGTATTCTTTTGTGTTGTGTTTTGCCTGGACTGGGGTGGGAACGAATGCACGTCTAGCCGCTACTTTGCCATCTCCTTGTTCTTTTATTCATCTTTTCACCTAAAATTACATTTGTTCATCTCCATTCCTCCTTTCATTCCTCACGGAACCGTGTATTCATTCACGTCTATCCTTGCAACCAGCGGCCAAATGCGACGCCATGGGGACGTCACCCTTACCTAATTCATTATTACTCGGATGTAAATGGGTGGTTAATTTGCTTCAGTTCTGTTGAACTCGGCTGCGACATGCTTGAAATCGACTGTCAATTAACCAAAGACGAGGAGGTGGTGGTGAGCCACGACAACGATCTTTCTCGTGCTACTGGTGTCAACAAATGTATCAGCGATCTAACCTACAACGAGTTGCCTTCGTACTCCGACCACTTGGCTGTTACCTTTGGATTTGGTGAGTGTCTTTCTGCTTTCCCTCCAATAAGCTCTTGCTTCCTAACGCCTTCTGACGTCATGTTTCACCTTCCTGCACTTCTTCTTCTTCTTCCTCTTCTCCCTCCACTCCTCTCCAGTTGACGACGAATTGTATTCTCCGTCTCGTGAGTTTTCCACCTGTTTCCCAGGCGCCTGTTCCTTGTTGCTCGTGGCGATTATCGGGAATGACAAAAAAACTTTACAAGACGTCTCCACTGGCCCCCTTTTACTTTCCTTTCACCAGGTCGAGAATGCAAGGCGGCAGAGGGCGTTTCACGCCAGATTCCCCTCCTCCGAACAGTTTTTGAGCAATTTCCTCGCACACCAATAAATATTGACGTGAAGACGGACAATCCTGTGCTCATTCGGAAGATATCATCTCTTATAGAGGAGTTCAATCGTGTCGACATAACAGTGTGGGGCAGTTTTTCAGACACTGTGAATCGGAAGTGTCAAGTGGAGAATCCGCGGATACCTACATTTGTACCAATCAAAAGAACTCTCAAAATTGTGCTTGCCTACTATCTGGGTCTACTGCCCTTCCTGTCTCTTTCGGATGGGTTTTTTGAAGTTCCGTTGGTACAGAATTTCGGGTAGGTTGCGAGGTTTACATTTATCCCTAATTACCTTCCTTTCCATCTCCTTATTAGCCGAATGCCAAACGTGATTGATTACATCAAAGCGCGAGCTGCGAGGTGAGGTCTAACGTTTTCGAGACCTTTTCGTTTTCTTCTTTTGAATTCACTTGTCATTGTTTGCAGGATTCCGGCTTTCCTTAAGTGGGGCTTTACTGACGACGATATACTGCGGTGGACTATACAGCTGGCCGATTTGTAAGTTAATAAATAAACCTTTTAACACTTAGAATGGTTCCTAAAACAATTTGATTTTTCCTTCAGTTTGTTGATGTCGAAAATACTGACCAACCACCTCAGAGCTCGTGGCATTCAGGTTTGTAAAGCGGAAATTTCATTGTCATACTGTTGAACTTGCAAGTATCGTGGCCTCGTGATTTGCATTGTAGGTGTTCTATTGGGTGTGTAACACAGAAAAAGACTACGCCAGAGCCTTCTCAATGGGACGCGTTGCTGTGGTGACGGATTATCCTAGCCAGCTAATGCATTATCTCGGACAGCACCCTGAGGTTGAAAGGGGAACATTCTCTTCGAGGGCTTTGTCTGAAAGCGTTTAATTGCTTTTATTAAGAAGATTTCTGTTTCTTATTTGATGGTGGGATGTCACCTGTAACAAAGAGGATTATTTTGGTTTTTTTAGGCTCAATCTTCTAAGCTGAGTTCCGTAACACCTCGAGATTTACAGTTTAGCCGTGGGCTTATCTAGGGCGAAATTTGTATTTGTATCAGAGGAGCGGTGGGGGAGATGCAGGGCTGCGGTCTGAATTTAGGGTATCCCCTGGCAAAGGCCGAGTGGGCGTCGAGGGGCCGCTTGGCAGCATAGGCTCTTAAATCGGCAAGGGGCATTGGGCAACGTTCCCATAGGTTGCGGTGGGGAGGCGCCATTAAAACATATGGTGGAGAATCGTCGTAAGTTTCCCGAAAAATCATGCAAAAATCTTGTTATTGATTTAATTTATTAGTATACGAAAGCTAGAGTGAAGGTTGCTGGAATGTGTACTAGTCGAATTTTTGTTCACAATCTCCCCAATTAGTCTCGCTGTGCTTTTAAAATATTTGAGTCCAACGACACGCGTTGTGTTAAAGTTTAACAGCCTAGTTGGAATTTTGCTATATTATTTTAATGTTGATCTGTTTAAATTGACCAGAGTCTAGTGGCGCCTTTTAAAGTAGCCTGTGCTTTATAGCTGTTTGCTGTCTATGAATAAAGAACCAAAACCTCGTGTTAGAAAACGTGTGACGCACATTGTTACTGACAACAAAGATAGGCATAATTATGGTAGTGAGAAGCCACTCTTTATCTACTGTTGTATCTGTGGTCAAATGGCTCTCATTTTGGACTGCCCTATTGAAAAACTCCCTGAAAGGCCTCGGGACAAAGCGAAGGTCATTGACGTCAGAAAGCGCGCCCATAAAGTGATAGCAACTGAAGCTAGTGCATCTAGCTGTGTCTACATTCGTTGGTCTGATGGTATTGAAAAACAATTTCGCCGATATTGTAAAAGTTGCAGCCTTCTTCTTTTCTACCGTCACAGTGTAAAAAATCACGTGGTAAATCTTGCCTTATATCCTTTATTCCCTGTTTTTTTAGGCTGAATTTATAGTTCACAATGCACTGACCCCCCAAGAAGGTAATATCGGCCTTTCAGCATCGGCATTGGCAACAAGAACAGCGAAGTTGGACGGAACTGACGCCGGAGAGGCAAATGTAAAGCTTCTAACAGCGTTGGCATCACAGGCTGAAGCTATGGCGCAACAGAATGGTTCTATGCCGCCTCCGGTCAACCCCCTATCCTATCTGAATTCATCTGGTTCAAATGGTTCAAAATTGAGACGGTCAGTTCAGCAGCAAGAGACAACTCAAGGTGTCGATACTGCCGTTACAGTGTCTACAATAGAGGACGAGGAGGAGGAGGCTGAGGCGAGAGAAGTTGCTGATTCCTACGCTGCGAACGTACGGGTCATTGAAGCTCAAATGATTCGTCGGGGTATCATCAAAAGGCGTTTGGTGGATGAGGTAATGTTGTTTTTTTAAACACTTTTCCTTTACTTCCTTGAAATTGTTCGAAATTAGGGCATTTTGTCTTGTCACTTGATGTGTCGTCACCTTCGTCCACCATAGAGGACCCGTTTTACTGATGCTGTTATCTTTTTCCTTATACAAATCAGTAATAAAATCGGTAATTTTGCGATATTTAGGCAAACGAACAAGCGGCAAAGCGTAGGGTGCGTGGTACACTCATTGAAAAGTAGCAGTACGTGGATCAGAAACTCAGAGCCTTTGTACATGCCCTTACTCTCGGTTGTCATTTGATTTTACTGTGTCTTGAATAAGTATGACCCGTCTTGCTTCTCTCGCATTTTGAATTACTCCTACTTTGCATACCAATTGTACTGCTCTGCTGGGTCTTCGGTCTTAGGGTAATTTTTTTATTCGTATGTTACCCATTTGGAAATTGTCCATTTTTGACTGTCGTGACTGCGCCTGGTGGAATTTTTATTAACGATACCATTATCTGTTGATCGTTGTCGTCCGTTCGTCATACGGTGATGGGAACGCTCGTTAAGGAAGTTCTGATTATAAACCGCGTTTCTGGTGAGTTGATGGATATGTCTTCCCCTGAAGGTGCCATCGTACTTGCTGCATTGGGCCTGAGTTAACTTTAATTGTTTTCCTGCCTCACATCTGTGTGACCAATAGTCGGTGCTAAAACTACGCAGCCGACTGTTTTTTTACGGTAATATTAAGCTGTCAATTAGAACAAGAAAAAATTTAGAATAAGGCATAAAAACCCCTTCGTTCATCTTCGAGGGAACGTGGCTACTTCACCCACTCAATTGATGTCCAGGGATGTAAATTGTTTAGGATTGTTTGGGCTGAGAAGTTAAGAGATGTACTCTCCATTTTGGGGTCCCCGATGCCAGCTTAGGGCGTAGTGGGGACGTTATCTTTTGCACTATGCCAGAAAGAAATGCGTTGCGAATTGATACTTCTCTCTGGCACTCATTTCATAAAAATTGGCATCCAGCAGTTGCTCGATTTCAAAAGGACGGTAGTCACTTCTGTTCTTTATAATTCACTAAAACCATAATCGTGTGCGTCACTCATGTACTAACTCAGATGGAGGTTCGGGATCGGTGGCTGTCACTACGCTCCTCCCGACTTCGATCCCGTTGTAACTGGGGCGCACTATGTTGCTACTTTTGCGTGTTACGGGTCTTTATAAACGCATTATCTACTCATTATTTATCAGTAGCAAATACTTTTACGCAAGGCCAATAAAACAAGGCACGAGAGTTTATTTTTTCCGGTTCATGTCATTTTAGTGTACGCTCTTGAAAGACATGTGTGTAGGCGATTTACCCAAGAGTAGCATGAAAAGGAGAAAAGATCCATAGCGAAATAGACAATTTTCACAGGATGTGAGGAGACCACCGATCCACTGTACACAATTCGACTTAAACGCGTTCAAACTTGCGGCGAGAAAGTTCATACCACCGCGTTACCTTGACTGAAGCGGATGACGAGGATTGAAGTTGTGTCAGAGAACTAAGAGGGATTGTCACATCCCCGATCAGATGTTTCAAACCCAGAGTGTCCATTTGTCTGGCTGTGAAAATAATAATGGCGTCCTTGCATTCGTTGGGCTGAAACTCGATTGTGAACTAGGCGGAAAAGAAAGGGGCATTACTAGAGTCTAACGAACACACAACGAATGCATGCCAATAGAAAACCTACTGTCTCGTTTAGTTTCGGATTATTCGACGGAAGCATGCAGTAGCGTTGTCGCGGAAATACTCGAATGGAATTGGGAATGCCTCTGATATCAAGCATGGCATTCATGGTCAGGTTTTCGCCAGGTAACCACTAGCAAGGAAACGGATAAGGAGTTTGTTTATCGTTTCTAAAGGAAGTTTGTAATATCCTCTCAGCTTCTGCTTCATAGTACATAAATAGAGAATTGACTCACCCACTCTTGAGCCTGTTCTACGCATACATTAAGTTGGTCGCAGGATTCGCTAAGTTCCAGAGTCAACTGCACAGCCGGGCGGTCAGGAGGAGCATCACCATCAATTTCGGAGCTATTTCTGTTGCTTTGAGACCGAGGAGGAGAGGAACTGCTACTGATGCATGAACTTGATGCAACTAACATTGAAAAAAAGGCGTAACGTCATTGGCAAGTGTCAATGCAGGACAAAAATTACTTGGCGAGCATAAAAATACTTTAAAAAACAATGGCACTTGATACATAAAGGCTAATACTCAACCTGAAATTGATCTTTGAGGTAATTCAGGTCTCAGATCCGCTTCCGTTGGCTTCCAGAAGTTTATCATATTAGGATCCTTAACAAAGAAACAAAAATTGATCGAACGTATTTTACTTAATACTTTATCAGTAGTAAAGCTCTTTAGAGGCAAACCTTTTAGTGTTGCTTTAGTAAGGCTTAAAATTCAACGTACGAGTGCATGGAATTGAATTAATTCCACCAGTCCCATTGTGAGTGAATTCAGGAGCATCGCAGATGGCGGTGATGGCTGAGCGCAATTCACCACCTGATCATCCAATTCAGACAACCGATTCAGCAGATTCATAGCAGGCCGACTTTTGGGATTGGAGTCAAGAATGCGCCAGATAAGACGTTTCAATTCTTGCACATCCCTAACTATGGAAAAACTGCCGCGACCACCATCATCGGCGCCAGTGGAATTCTTATTCTCTGGCTGTATTTCGAATTTAAACGCGGGCTGAAAATACGAAAATATTATCTCTACTGAACGGAATATAGTAGAGCATTTTATTGCGGCAATAGATCGACAGCTTAAAAGAAGCACCCACCCTGGAATACCATCCATTTCGCGTTAATGAGGTATCCGTGACTGATATTTTGGCCAGTCCACTGAAATTTGTTAAAAAAGCAACTTAGAATGGGGCATTATTTGTGGTCTGATTCCAACTGCAAGAAAAAAGTGGCAGATCAGAATATATTCAGCTGAGTCACCCCTTGAATACCCGGCAGACGAGGTCTAAATCCCTCCAACATTGTGATAGCAGTACTTATTCACCTTGAGCCCTTCCCGCAATGGCATGTACACCAGTGAACTCATTACTAAAGGGGAGATCATAACCGTTTCATATACAGTAGAAAACAAACTAGTGTTCTCAAACTCTCTCTCCTCATTTCAACATGAAATCATTATCATTACTCAATAACGTGTCCTTAACTCTTTCACTTTGCAACACGTCAGACCGGTCAAAGGTGTACTCACATTTCAGGTTGTGCAGTACCCGTTGATGTGGTTCTGTTCGATTGTAGATGCAAATACACCCCTTGAGCTGTACAATTTGCATAGCGACCCTCCGGATTGTCCACAACACTTGGTTGTTTCTTGCTCCTTTGAACCTTGTCGTGAATCATGTTATTCAGCTGAGCCGAGTATGATTGAATACTCCGTTGAATTAGCCTATCGGGAAGGGAATGAATAAGGATTTAAGTTATTGAGACTCCTACTCCTTAAAAAAGGCCTCCGCTTCAGCATCACTAATAGATCGACGTAGATTTCCAAAGACGTGTCCAATTTGTCCTCGCTCCAACCCGGGCAGTTGCATTTGCCACGCCTATAAAATGAGACGACGTGAGTGGGCAACAGTACGTTGTAGCTATGCGCCCTATTAGGGGAGGGTAACAATTAAACCGCTCCCTCCGAGAGGGAGAGAGTGGACAACAGAGTGGTCTAAACGCACCATCTCCATTAGGCCCATGATTGGAAAGGCGAACTTTCGAAGGAGGTTGTAGGCCTGACAACAGTGGCGCACAAAGGAGGGAATTTCAACCAGTTCCTTTGGCATATCTTCCCTTCTGCTCGTCGTCGAATTCGATGGTTCAGCAAATTTTACCACCTCCACCATATCCGGAGTGAGGATGAAGGGCGATCTATCACTGATTGGACAAAATGGGAGAAAGAAATTAAAAT